AAAAAAAGTTGTCAATTACAAAAATGAAGCTCTATTTTTGTTCAGTATACTCTGACACTTTCAGATAAATCGGACAAAAACTAAATAATTTTTTAGACCCTCAAAATTTGACCTCCTTTTTGGCCAGTAGGGCGCATTTACTCACTTAAAAGGGTTTCTCGTGTTGAAGGAAAATGTGATACCATCGGGATTACATTCGAATTTCGGATCTCCAACTATCTCGTTATCCAATTGGAATAGGGTTACGGTAGGTATCTGAAAAAAAAACGTTTTTTGAAAAACTTCAGCTACGCGGCTGCATAGCTCTGAAAAATAAAAATACCGTTTCTCAATCAATTCTAGTTTAAAAAATTACAATTTTTTTGATCTCAGCTCGTTACAAGCTTCAAAATGAGTATGAACAAGGCTATGTTCGGTGAAAATTTTGGATTACTGCAGTTTTCGTGGTGGGACCCAAAATTCTGAGAACCTAGTCGTGTTCATACTCATTTTAAAGCTCAGGACAAGTTGATTTCAAAAGTCACAAAATTTCCGAGAATAAAAACTTCTAGATGATTTTTTTTAATTTCCAGAAATTCAAAAAGTGTTGGTTGGAATTTTTATATTTTTCAGGGTGTTCTAGACCTTTGATATCCTAGGAAATTCTGATTTTCACAAAATTCTGAATTTTTAAAAACTTTCCTTACCATAAATATTAAAATCCCAAAAATCAACATTTTCGGAAAAGTATCAGAAAATCTAGTGAGTTTTGGATATAACTCTCAACCACCGAGTAAATACAAATACCACTACAAAAGAAGGGGTCCGAAAAGTGGGCGGAGCCTCCCTTCCCCTCCTTTTGTGCCATAAAAGAACCCCCCATGGGTAAACACACAAAAGGGTCCATTACCCTATACCTAGGTTTCATGAGATTTGCGGGGTTTATGATTGAAATTGGATTTGAAAAGTTTGGGAAAATTGAAATTTCGTTTTTCAATTATAAACTTCAAAATTTAAATTTCGAAAAGCTTTTCAAAATTTTGAACCGCCGCCCAGCAGGAGGTCGTTTGGTCCATTAAAGGGAGGGGAAGTCCCGAATAGACACCCGAAGTGTTTGCACAGTTTGTTTTGGTGCATTATATTAATTACAAAAGAAACAGAGAGAACTCGTACTCTTCATAACAGGAAGTTTCGGAGAGTCTCTTTTGTAAAGAGAGATGGGATTAACTGCCCTTGGTAACAGGAAGAAACATTTTAAATGGGTGAAATCGGATGTTTTCAAGGACGGATTTTGAATTGAGGATCTGATAGAAGTCCATCCTATACGTGCGCTCAATTATCTCGGTTCCTGTGAAAGATACCAAAAAGTTATCAACTAACGAACTCAGCAAATTTTTGGCACATGTGCCGCTACTTGGGGCACCGGTGCCGCTGCAACGCGGTAATCGTGCCCGGGGGGTCGGGGCACGCATGCATTTGCCGTGCCGTTGCCGTGCCGTATCCGTGCTCATGTGTGCCGTTATTTGAATTTTTTTTCTCGAAATCGGGTGAATTTTATCGATTTTTCTTAAATCAAACAGTTTATTTGATTAGGAATGCAACAACAACAAAAAAACAACGATGAGAAAATTCAAAAATGTAGAGAATATTGCGCAGATTGTGTTGAAGATGGCGACGACATTAAGATTCCTCCTCCTCTTCTCCAGCTTCGTGGGCCCTGCTCTTGGCAATGTGTCTCTGAAAGAATGTTAAAGATTATTGTCGAAACAAATTGGATGGAAACTCACTTTTCTTCTTGCGATGTATCCTTGTGAAGATCCATCGGCAATTATGAATGTTCCTAGACGAAGCTCTTTGCTGAAAATAATTTATTTGTTAAATGAAAAGATTACAGAAAACTTACAGAGCATTTTTAAATTGAGCTCGAAACGTATTAGTTTTGAACGATTTTTTAGCAGACGAAAATTGGACGAATTTCTTCTTTTTAGCCTCTTCGGTGGCATAGTTCTTCAACAATCTCGAATTTCCGAACTCTGACCGATATTCTGGTTCGTCGAACAATTGATCATCGAGTTGAAAAAATTCGAGAAACAACTCTGAAAGATGCATGCTTCGCACTCGTCTCGTTTTCCTTTCTTCTTCCGTCCACAACAATGACAATAAAAGTTCATTTCAAGAATAACCTCGTTACGGAGCAGCTCCAACTCTCGCTTGATAACACCCAATGATACGGGCGGTGGTGCTCCATTAATAACCGACATCATTCCATCGAGTCGATCCATAGAGTTTTCTGATATTCCCTCTGAGAGCACAAAGTTGATGTAGCAGGAAATTCGAATATCAGAGTCTTGAATTTCTCTTCTTTCGTAGTTCATCATTGGTAAGAGACAATCATAATCGACATCTTCCAAGTTTTCACCGAAATCCACCTGACCTGAAAACATAGGAACTAACAATAACCTTTCAAAAAATTTTGAACACTGTCATTTCAAAATAGATCAGTTTTTCACATCTCGGTCACTTACTCATTTCATTTGTAGTATTCCTAGTTGCTGGTCGTAAACTACTTTCTTCTTCTTCAGTATCCTTCCACAGTTCGAAATCTTCATTTCTCGACTCCATAACTGAAAATATTTTCGATGTTACTATTACTTGAGAATTTCCCAACTCACCAATTTTCTTCCGGTGTCTTTTCCAACGCGACATCTGCTACGGCTACTGTCTGAAAACTAAAAAGGGATAAATTTCATGACTTTCGAACGAAAAAGACAAAAAAAACAAATTTAAATAACATAAAACAATAAAAAATACATAAATGTATGGTTATAAATCGAAAGCTAATCAATTTCGAAACTCCATGTATAGACACGAGATGCGCAGATGGTTCAAGAAGGGGCACGGCAACGGCACGGAAGGGGCACGGTAGCGGCCCGTTAGGGACACGGGTGCGGTGTTCCACGGGCACTTTGAACGCGGCACCGTGCCGTTTGGATGCGGATCCTGTGCCCCTCTGTGCCCTAGCGTGCCGAAAATTTGCTGAGAAATATTATTAATATCATGATAAACATTTTATCAGTTAACTAATTGTTTATATCTTTCGAAAGAACCAAGATAACTGATCTCAAAGTGCATAAATAGATTGGGCTTCAATTAGAGCGTATATCCCGAAGAACGCCACTTCATAGACAATATACCGTAATCCAATTACATTCATCTTGTAGTTCTTGAGTTTTTCTACTATATTCATTTTACTTGGTTAAAAAATATTGAGTCCCATAGAAGTTATGGCCTTATCGGTCGTTGGTTCATCTGATACACCGAAGCTAGCATTCAAAGCGTCCTAACAGCAAAACAGAGTAACTTTCTGAATTTATAATTAATATAATTTGTAGAAAAGGACATTTTCTACATTTTCATGTTTATTTCAGCTAAAAATGTTGATTTTGAAGCGAGTTATGGACCAAAAACCAATGGAGCGCTTCTGATTTTTGAAGTCATATTGGTGGACACAGGGCGACTATTAGACGATGCATAACTTGGTTCAAACTTGGAATTTCTGTTTAAATCAATTAGTGAAATGTAGAACTCAACAAGATCTACATTTTGATACCTAATTTCATTTTCTATATTTTCTATGTATAGAGCGCTTCTCATTCTGGTTCAACAAAACTTGCTCGTTCAATTCCCCATACAGCAACACTGAACAATTTTTTATAGTTAAGTTAAATATGATTTTGTAGAAAATATCATTTTCTATATTTTCGTTATTATTTCAGGTGAAAATCCTAATTGTAAAGCGAGTTATGATCCGAAAACCAATGAAGAGCTTCTGATCTTCAAATTCATGTGAACCGCTGAGACTCGCGTGTTCAACGCCCTCTAACAGAAATAATGAATAGTTTCCTATAGATAAATTTAATATCAATTTGTAAAAATCTTATTTTATACATTTCCGTTTTTATTTTAGCTGAAACTGTTGATGTTGAAGCAAGTTATGGCTCAAAAACTGATAGTGGGCGCTTCAGATCGCTTTCTGCCCCGTAACTTTTTTCATAGGCAAGACACAGCACCCTAATTAATTCCGTTTTGTAGCTCTTAAGTATTTCTATTATACCCAATTTATTTGGTTAAAAAATATTGAGTCTGAAAGGAGTTACGGGCCTCTATAGATTTTCATGTCAAAACCACTTTGTCCCTTGAGAAACTTGAATCCAAGATTAACACAAATTTCTTTATTCTCACGAAATCTTTGAGATCATGAGAATTTGAACAGAAACAAGACGAGGAAAAGGTATGCAATTATTTGGTCAATCCGAAGAAACAGATCGAGAATCCAACAGTTCCGCCAATGAAGAATACAAGGACAACCGTAAGCAATCCAACACAAATAACAGTTTTCCATTTCTTGCAGAAAGATTTTTTCTGAGGTCTAGCTGGTGGAGGATTCTAGAAAAAATGCGGACATCAGGATAAACAGACACGAGAAAGGACAAGAGGACTTACCGGAAATGTCGGGATATAGAAGGTAGTTCCTTCTTGGTTGATCGGCATTTCGCGAGGAAGAGGTAGTAGGAGAATACGAAGAATCTGATAGGAAGTCGGAACTAATAGTTAAGAGCATTTTCAGCTACATCTTCACTCCTTGGCTCCGCCCCTTTCTTAATTGTAGCTTTTTTATAAGAGTCCATCGGAGGTTGATATCATTGGCAAGTCTCAAATTACATGTTCTGCAGAATTGTTCTATAAGGATCAGTTGGATGATCAAGCATCTGAAAAATTGTCAGATCGATTTGAAAATTGATTCGTGATCAGCAGATCACGAGGAATCGATAGAGTGGTAGATTGGCAAGGGCGGGTCCATATATGGCTCATAACTTCAAATTTGGCGGCTTACAACTCCTTTATAAACTTAATACTTTGGATAAAATAACATGCATCTGATAGACAATTTCAAGAGCAATACAATGATACTAAGCAAAAACCAGTATCTTGTCTATGAACAAAGTTACAGTTTGTAAACTTTTCAGATGCACCTGTCATTAGTTTTTGAGTCATAACTTGCTTCAAAATCATCCTCTTTAGCTGAAACAAAAACGAAAATGCAGAAGATGAAATTTTCTACAAAATGATTTTAAATTTAGCTATAGAAAACTTGTCAGCTTTGCTGCTTGGGAGCGTTGAACGAACGACTTTTGTTATATCAGACGATGAGAAGCACTCCATCGCTTTTTGGGCCATAACTCCTTCAAAACTAATATTTTAAGCTGAAACAAAAAGGAAAATGTAGCAAATGAGTTTATCTACAGAATGGTATTAAAATAAACTTAAGAACAATTTTTAGTTGTGCTGCCGGAAGGCATTGAACGAGATACTTTTGATAGATCAGGATGAGAAGCGCTCTTCATTAGTATTTGAGGCATAACTCCCTTCAAAGTCAATATTTCCACCTAAAATAAAAACGAAAATGTAGACAATAATATTTCCTAAAAATGATATTAAATTTAGCTATAGAAAACTTGTCAGCTTTGCTGCTTGGGAGCGTTGAACGAACGACTTTCGTTGGATTAGACGGATGAGAAGCACTCCATCGGTTTTTGGGCCATAACTCCTTTCAAAATCAATATTTTAAGCTGAATTAAAGAGGAAAGTATATCACTTTACCAGATCTACAAAACAATAATTGATTCAACTATGTTCAAATACCGAGTGTTGAAACCGGAAACCGTAAAACAAAGGGGCAGCGCTCGGTTCCCTTATGGTATGTGTTCCAGAAATTGGTTTTTAAATATAGTCATATTAGGCATCATTTTGTAGATCTTTTTAAGTTCTACATTTTACTTATTAATTCAGATGGAAATACCCGCCTCGAACCGAATTATGCATTGTCTAATAGTCGGCCCGCGTCCACATGAATGGGTGGGCTTTGAATGGGCTTTTATAGGCCCCCTGAAAACATGGAAAGTTCACAAAATCGACATCATTTTATTTATTACGCCCACTTTTCAACATATTTTACACAATAATTCTAATTGACACAACAAGCAAGAGACCATATGAAAACGAGAAACGGAGGGAAATCTAAAGGGCGGGATGAAGAGAAAATTAGATCTTTGGGCGAAAATCCTAACCTTTAGCAGAATTTTTCCGGTATAAAAGCAGCGCAGAAGCAGAGATAATTTAGTTGATTTTCTATTTTTTTTTTTGGGAATTTTCTGGAATTTCTCTAGAGCTTCTGGATTTTTCAGGAAATAATTCAGAACTTCATTTTTTGAAATTGCGTTTTGGAATATCCCAATTCGGAGCTGATAAGGATGCCAATGTATTAAGGTACGTTTTCTCCTTGTTTTTTTCTTAGTTGTAGTCTTTTAGACTACTGTAGTTTATCCTCTATGATCCTAGTGTACATAATGACCCTCTGACTTCTTTGTGGATTCAGAAATTCAGTTTTTCCTGAAATTCTAATTTTTGTTAGATTTTTCAATTTTGTTTGATCTCTATCTCATCAACACACATCATAGGAGGACCTTTCCAAAAATCCAAATTCCAGATAATTGCTTTGTTTACAACTTTGGGACAACTCGAGAAACTTCTTTTCGGAATCTAAAGGGTCAAGTGATGTAATCTCCGAAAACTGAAGACATAAGGTGAGGTGATGTAAGGTGATGAGGCGAAATTTCGAGGGTTACTGTATTTGGGGTTAGGGGACAGTCCAAGAATAGACGACTTTAAACTTACTGTGGAGGAAGACCTTTATGTGTTGATGTAGACCTTTTGTCCTGGCCCATCAAAAGAAGCTTCTGGAACATTCTGTGACGGTGTTCCTGAGCTACTGTACTTGTATCTACTGAACCATCAATACTTCAGGATTACTGTAGTTAGGGTTACTGGACAGTTATAATCCTAAAGAGAATGATTCCAAGACTCGAAGACTTCTTCAATGTTACGGTAGAGGATGGTAAATCGTTGGACCATCTGGAAAAGCTTCTGGAACGTTTTGTGGATGGTCGGGAGCTCCCTCTGCGGACCATGATTTTATAGTTCGTTCGATTTTATAGTTAGTTTCATTTCTTGTCATTTTCCACCCACTCAGATACCCTTTATATTTTAAACTTTCTTTATATTTTAAACTTAACATCATGATAAAAAATTCTGTGCGATCTCCACACCACATCGCATCACTTTTATCATGTTACCAACCTTTTCAAGGCGAAATATCGAGATAATTGCTCTATTTACCAGCTGGGAAAGGTTGCTTTCTGGAGAAAGGGTATGGACCAAAACCCGTGCGTGGGTCAGATGATTTTAGGAGAACAATCTGAAAAAGAAGAAATTGGGAAGTAGGGGTTTTTGAAGGGGTAGAACTTTAAGATTCCTTGGTACCTGAACTAAAGATCATTAGTCAAGTAGAGCTAGACCAGTATGACTGCTAGGCCCTGGGGCAGCAAGACCAGCGGGACATAGACTAACAGCTCCTTAAGATTAAATGATCCGAGCCATACGGACCTTAGCCAAGAGGATCTAAGGCATCGGGACCTTTAGAACCAAGGATCCTAAACCAGAACGCGCAAGACCAGTAGGACAATGACTAGCAGGTCCTACGATCACAACGTACTATCTGGAACTAAACCGTGACTATTTAAGCCATGTGGGCCTTCAGAACCTAACTAGGATCCAGGACATCCGGACCAAAAATATGATGATCCACGTCATCAACACATTCAGAATCTAGAATCTAAAGCAGGTGTTTTTGATAGCTCCTAGGATTTTCTTTCCATCTCGAAACTGTGGATTACGGTAGCAGAGCTTAGGATGCAATTGAGACCATTATCCACCTCGAAGTTCGGGTCCAGTGGATTACTGTAATAATAAGACAGTTGGGATTCTATTGATGAATCATTTCTTGTAACATCATTTGGAAAAGTTTGAAGAATCAGAAAATCAAAAATTGAGCATGATGTAAGGAAATCAAACAGTGACAATGGAAAAGAATGTTTTAAGGGGGACAGGGTTTTTACAGTTACAGTATTTGACGTCATAGTGTAGTTATATATCGTACAACCTGGAATAGAAGAACCCCCACCCTGCCAAGTTTGACCTAATTTATCTCTGTTACTGTAAGAGTCATCAAAAAGTGGTTCACTAATGAAATGTTTCTGATATTATGATAAACAATTTATCAGTTGATAACTCTTCATATCTTTGACTTGAACTGAGAAAAATTATCTCAAATTTGGAAGTTTGGGCGGCCCTTCTAATAAGGAACCTGGATTACTGTACCTCCAATAAATGACCTTGAAGAGTATTTTAGAATCTTCCAGAATCTTCCATAACAACCTAATCGTCACCTCCTGATCAGAAATGTTCCAATTTTCCAGAATGTTTCCCCCTAGAGTGATATGTTAACTGATCATAATGGTGCCCCTTGTAAACAAAACTCTGAACTTTTCGAAAATTTTATGAACTTTTTGATTGAAAAAAGGGGCGGAGTCTACAACTATAATTTTCGATTCTTTCTGAAATTTTTTTGAAATCTCGAAAATGAAAAAGGGGCGGAGTCGGGTATAAAAGCGCGGGGAACTTTTGGCTTAGGTACAATTTGTATACCTCTGAAAACCCTATCCTCTACCTCTCGAGATGCCCCGCGGTTCCGTTTACCCAGGTTCCACCGTACCCCAAATTGTAAGTTGTATTAGTTTCTACGGTACTACTGCACCTTGGCGGTCGAAAACAGAGCCGTGGTCGGTGGCCTAGCGGACCTAGCCCGGACATCTTGGCCCACGGTCAACGGCCCAGGCCGTGGCCTAGTTTCCCAGAGCCTTTGGTTTTGATAACATCGACCTATCCTTTTTTCAGGTCGTGGAACAACCAGAAGAACAAGGGCCACCACCACTCTGGCCGACAAGAACGCACAAAAGACTGGCATGTATTGGCCTCGTGGTTGGCGCAATCACCGCATCGATTCTCACCGTTTGCATTGGAGCCACCATCTGGGTCGAGATGAAAAATGATTAATTGATTTGCCGCCTATTTCTCTGGGTCTCTCTCTCTCTCTCTCTCTCTCTCTCTCTCATTCTGGAAGTGTTTCCAGATGTGCGCCTTAAACTTTTTTGTTGCATAAAAAAACAAATAAAAATTCCGATTTTTTATATTTTTCAGAATTATTTTTCAGATTTTCAGCATTTTCCCGGCGATTTTCGAGTTTTCCGGCATTTATTAGAGCGTGCTTGCATTGTCGCAAATGTTCAAAAAATACAGTAACCTAAAAAGAAGGTAAAATGTGCGAAAAACGCTTACAAAAATGAGATTTTTGGTATATTTTACAGGTTTTTCTTTTTAAATCTCTTCAAGATCCATATATTTTGTAATTGTTTCCTCAAAAATCCGTTTAAAAACCGAAATCAAGTAAATTATATAAATCGCTGCGAAACCCGACAGAAAATTTTCGGTTGTGTGCCTTTAATATTTTTTTTGCTTTCTTTTGAAAAATAAACTTCCATGTTTTGTTTCAAACAAGAAAGCACATAGAAAACTCGAATTTTTTACCTATTTTCAGATTTTCTTAGTATTTTAATCGATTTTCAGCATTTTCCGCTCAATTTTTGCTTTTTTGACATTCTCCCACGGTGTACTGTAGACTGTTTTCAGGCGCGAATCATTCGAATTCAAAATTATCGAGGTCGAAATTTTTCACTGCATTTTCGGTGACCAAAATGGTATTTTTAACGATTTTCAAGGGATTTTTCCAGAGAAAAAGCGATTTGTTTCAGAAAAATTCTCTTCGAAGGGTGTGTAGACGCCCGTGTCTGATGAGGTTGGTCGCCTCGAAAAAATGAAGTGTGAGTGGATTTTTTTTTCAGAATGTTCAGTCAAAAATTCAAAAATTTTCAAATTTTCAGCCACCGCCAGATGCTCAAAACCGACGATGCCACGTCCAAGAACGTCTTCTGGGTCATCGTTGACGCCTAGCCGAGAGCTGCTCAGAGATTCCATACGAGTAGGAATTTTCCAGAATTTTCTTGAAAAAATCGTTTTTTCCAGCACCAAGTGTCTTCGGAACCCTACGTCTACATGTCGAGAGAGAAGACGTGGCAAGAGGCGACGCGTTTGGCTGCCAGTTTGGCTAAGGTACTTGCCACGTGGATTTCTGGGAAATTCGAAAATTTTCAATTTTTTGACCTAAAAAAATTTTTTTTTTGAAGTTTTAACATTTTTTTCAACAGTAAATCTCCTGAAAATCATAGATTTTTTACTGAAAAATTTTGAAAAAAAAATGTTTTTCTTCGAAAAATTTGAAATTCCCGCCAAATGTTTCCTTCCAGAAACCCGACGTCGTCCGCAAAGCGATATATAATCTCGAAGCTTCGTGAACAAGAAGATAGCCGACGCGCTTGTCGAGTACGAAGTCGTCGACACTCATTCTCCGGCGATTATGAAGATAGCGGAGCATGTGGAGGTGAGCAAGAATTTGAAAATTTGAATTTGGCGCCCACAGAACTATGGGGGCGAAATTCAAATTTTGAATGACGAAATTCGATTTGTCGAGTTTTCAACCGATTTTTTCGCTTTTTTCGGCATTTTTCAATTTTCAGACCATCGCAATAAACGTCATCCACTTCCTGGAATCGCATCGCCAACAAATATGCGCAGGGATAAGCGCCAAGACCGCCGGTCTCCGTCAGACTGCATGAGAAAACGGGACCGCCCATTTTCCAGAGAATCTCTGAATAAATTAACACCCGTTTTAAACGATTTTTACTACCAATTCTTGTCCCAATTTTCAATGCATTCTTTCATTTTTTACAATTTTTTTTTCAAAAAATTTTTCCCCGATTTTTTGGAATTTTCTCGAATTCCCCACCATTTTTCTATCCCAATTTAATGCATTCTATACATTTACCTCGTATATTCACCATTTTTATGCATTTTTTAATTCACAACCTCGAAGATAAACCGTGTTTTGTCTTTTTAACGACCAAAAATAAGCAAAAAAAAGATTTTTCCCTCTTTTTCTCTAACCGCCCTCTTCTGTTTACACACTCTCGTCGTCGCACCCCAAGTGGCCGCTTTTCTCGGTCAATTCTTTGCAGTTTCTATGCTTTTTTTCAGATAAAATCCTTTGAAAATCTGTAAATTTACTTTCAGAGAACAAAAATAATGCGACAAATTGTGGAATTTTTGGCCGCCGGAGAGCCGATGAAGGCGTTGGACCTTTTTGAGAGAACTGTTGATGAAGGTTAGGCTTTTTAGCTGAAAATGACTTAAAAATGAAGATTTTGAAAGCAAAAATAGCTGAAAAACCGAAAAAATCGACTAAAAATAACCTAAAAATCCGATTATTGGGAAAAATTCGAAAAAAGAGGCGCTGGCCTACTTGCGTTTTCTAGGCCACGACGACGATTCGACGATTCTGGAAGCTTCTCGACTACTGGCCAACTATATTCGACACTCGTCGCGTTTCAAACGACACTTAATTTTTCTGAAATTACAAAAATGCAGTGCTCTGTCTCGGCTCTATTTATCGTTTCAATTCAATAGCTTCCGAGATTCGGCGTTTCCGAAAAAAGAGATTTTCGAGGGAAGCTGTTTGCACGATTCGGAGGCATATTTGGAGAGAAGTAAGTGCGCTCTAATCGGAATTTTTTGAAAAACTAAGAAATTTGAAAAAAATATTTGGTCGGGAACGATTTTTTCTACGTGAAAATTTGCTTTAAAAATTAGCATTTTTACGTGAAAATTAAAGAAAAAATTCAAAAAATTACATAAAAATGATTTTTTCATAAAAATGAAAAAATATTCAAAATTAGGACAAAGGTCAAAAAATCATGTAAATTTTGAAAATTTGGATTTTTCTGAATTTTTAGAAAAAATAGAAAAAATGAATTTTAAAAATATTTTTTACTTAAAAAAAATTTTCAAAATTAAAAAAATCACCTAAAAATTGAATTTTCAAAAAAAGACATTTTCTGAATTTTCACGTAAAAATCAATAAAATCTCAGGGTCATTTTAAAGTGGTGGCCTAACTTTTGCAAATTTGGTTTTCTAGGCCACCACTTCAAAATGTCCTAAAATGCCCTAAGATGACCTTGGTGTGTTTACTAGGTCATTTAGAAGTGGTGGCCTAACTTTGGAAATTTGGTTGTCTAGGCCACCACTTCGAAATGACCTGGAACCAGTTGCATGTTAGGCGATTTTTAGGTCAAAAATAAGTGGTAGCCTAGAAAACCAAACTTGCAAAAGTTAGGCCACAGCTTCGAAATGGCTCAAAACTGCCATAATATGACCCTGGTATGTTTTCTAGGTCTTATTGGAATGGTGGCCTAACTTTTGCAAGTTTGGTTTTCTAGGCCACCACTTCAAAATGACCTAGAAAACACACTTTTGGAAGTTTGGTTTTCTAGGCCAGCTTGGTAAAATGACCTGAAAATGACCTGACATGACCCTGGTGGTTTTTCTAGGTCATTTTGAAGTGGTGGCCTAGAAAACCAAACTTGCAAAAGTTAGGCCACCATTCCAATAAGACCTAGAAAACATACCAGGGTCATATTATGGC